ATCCTCTCTGACCCTGATCGCACCCTCCCGATAATTTCAGTGCGACTGGGGACCTCCACGAGGTTGTACTCAGCACTGTGGGATTCTGGTTCTCAGGGTGACTTCATTCACCCACGTGTGGTGAAAAAAACCCGCTTACCCACGACAAGGTCTCCGGCTCCCATCTCCATCACCCTAGAGGATGACAAGACCCAACGCTTCTTCGATCAGACGGCCACCGACCTCCCTTTCTTCCTCACTCTAGAGTCGACTGATCGTCCCCCGACGTCTCGTCGTCGCTGCTCCTCTGCACATTTCCATGTGATGGAGACGGGGAACGACTTCATTCTGGAGCCCACTGTTCGTGACCTCATTCGAGAGTACCACGACGTTTTCCCATCGTCTTTCTCGTACGCCGGTATCCCACCGATGCGCGACGTCGAGCACTCCATCCAACTTGTGCCTGACTATCGTGTTCACCACCAAACACCCTATAGACTTTCGATCCCCGAGGCCATTGAACTGAAGCGTCAGCTTGAGGAACTCATGAGACTGGGTTTTATTAAACCCAACAACTCCCCGTGGGGTAGAAGCGGATGAAACTTTCCGTCTTTGCATCGACTATCACGGGCTCAACCGCTACATGGTTAAGAACAACTACCCCATGCCTCGTTCCGACGAGTTGTTGACCGCCTAACAGACAACCGCTTCTTTACTAAGGTTGATCTTCGTAGCGGTTACCATGAGATCCGCGTCGTTGCAGCGGACCAGTCGAAGACAGAGTTCCGATCACGCTTCGACCGCTATGAGTTTATGGTGATGTCATTCGGCCTCACCAATGCACCCGCTACTCTCCAGAGGGCGATGAACGACATCTTCAAGAACATCTTGGAGCAGTACGTTCTCGTCTACCTCGATGATATCCTGATCTACAGTCGTACCCTTGAGGAGCATCTCAGACACCTTCGCGACATCCTTGACCGCTTGCGCAAACATGGTTTCTACGCCAAGCTGAGCAAGTGCCGCTTTGCCCTACACGAAGTGGATTTCTTAGGATACTATGTGTCTGACCAGTGTCTCGACATGGACGATGCGAAGATCACTGCTACTCTTGCGGAGTGTCCCGTCCCCACATCCGCCAAGCAGCTTTGCAACTTCCTATGCCTCACTAGCTACTATAGTAATTTCATTCAGGGATACACTAGGTATTCCTACATCCTTACCTCCTTCCTCCTCCAGAAGAACCCGCCATGCACTTGGACACCCCTCAGCTCCACGAGGACGCCTTCCGCGCCCTCAAGAAGGCGGTGACATGTGCACCAGTTCTTCACCTAACCGATTTTGATCGCCCTTTTATCCTTACCACTAATGCGTCAGACTTTGATGTAGGAGCAGTGCTTTCTCATATTTCCCCCTCCTCTCTTGATTCTTCTCATCCTCGCATCCCTCGCTTCCCACCCCCTACCCCTGTCACTGCTTCCCGCTTGACGCCTACTCGTCCAGCTACTGACGAGCCTTCTCTTGACTACTCTCCTACCATCGCCGAGGACGACAATGGCGAGTCTCGCTCAGACAATTGTCCGATAGCCTTCTACTCTCGTCAGCTCCTGCCCGCCAATATAAACTACACTGCTGGTGAACGTGTGGTTCTTACAGTAGTTTATGCCACTCAGTACTGGCTTCATTACCTGCACGGGGCACCATTCACGGTCCACACGGACAACTCTGTTATCCAGGCTTTTATGACAAAACTGAAGTTTACTCCTCGACAGGCTCGCTGGTGGCGCGACCTATCCGAGTTTAGTTTCACCACTGAGCACATCAAGGGTGAGACCAATCGGGTCGCAGATGCCTTATTCCGACGCTCTGACCATAATCTGGAGCAGATCCAGCTTGCCGCCATCTCGGTCACCACCGTCCACCACTCGGTGACCGACGAGTTTCGCACTCAGTACTGCCACTGCCCCGACTATCGCGACATCTATACGACCCTTCGGAGTGGCAAGCCCGTCCCGAACTACTCTCTCGGGGACCAGAGATGAGTAACGGGTACCCAGACCCAGACCCACCTGCACCCAACCCCAGCCACGAGGCATTGGGTCAAGTATGGGTCTTGATAAGCTGGCATGGTTAGGATGAGGGTGGGTCAAGGTGAGCAAGCCTGGGTGGGCGACGGGCGGGTCAATGTTAAGCCAGGGTCACCCGAATGGGTGGGTGACAAGCGGGTGAACGCTAAGACTGAGTCACGTGACCCACAAACCAGGATAACCCATAAGAACCCTTCCCCCGACCCCTCCCCCCCCACCCCCTACCTCCCACCCCCCTCCCCCCCTTATACATATTTCCCAGTTGCGGTCCATCTGCGGACTTCAAAGGTTGGAGGCCCAGAAAACGGAAAGTCTCCACCCTGGGGCCCCTGGAAAAAAAATTCTCGTCCTCGAAAAAAAGACTCGCGCTAGTGGCAACTAAAAATTTGGGGTCGTCCTTGAAAAAATGTGTCACGCTCTACTGGTGGCAGTTGGACCACGGCCCAAACAACGGGATGTTCGCTCCCATTAAAACAGCGGGGATCGAACCTAACCACAGCAAGTGGCAAACCTTAGGTTCACTACCCAATTTCAAACTTGTGTAGCGATTCGAATTTCTGTAGGTAGAGATGCTTCAAAGTTTTGCGTCGTCGTCCAAGGATGTCATGTTGCTATGGTGCGTGCAAATGTTCGAAGGGACTGAGACAATGGGGAATGGGTGGGTGCAGGTGGAAAATAATTAGGTACCGGGTGCGGGCGGGTAATTTTGTTCTCGCGGGTGTGGATGGGTCAGGGTGAAGGTTTTTCACGGGTGACGGGCGGATTGGGTGTGGGAGGAAATTTTCAAAAAAACACTCGGGTGGGTTGGGTCACCTTGAGATTTTTTTTTTTTTTAGGGCAGGCGGTGCTTAAAAAATTATGGGCGGGTTGGGTGAAGTGCCAATTCAAAAGAAAAATGCTCATCTCTATCGGGGACAACGGTCTTGTGTACTAGCACGATTTACAGGGCACCAGAGAGCCCCGTATTTGTGTTCCCTCCACTGGACAGCTACGTATCCGAGCAGTAGCAGAGTTCCATGACCAGGCAACCACCGGTCATATGGGCTTCCACAAGACGTTGGCTCGTGTGAACCGCCTGTACGTCTGACCGAAGTGCAAGGACTTTGTGAAGGACTACGTCGTAGAGTGCCCCACCTGTCAGGAGGTGAATAGTGCGAACCAGCTGCCTTATGGTTTGCTCTAGCCTCTTTTTATCCCATAGGGTCGTTGACGATTCATCTCGATGGACTTTATCGGTCCCCTTCATCCTCCGACCCCCCCCCATCATGATGCTATTCTGGTCGTCGTCGACCGCTTCACGAAGCGCGCACGCTTTGTTCCGTGCCGCTATGCCATCAATGCACGTGAGGTCGCCGACATCGTGTTTGACGGAGTCGTGCATGACCACGACTTACCTCTGAGTATCATATCTGACCGTGACCCGCGCTTTACCAGCCGATTCTGGCGACGGCTCCACGAGGTGTACGACACCCAGCTCCGCTTCTCCTCGTCTTACCATCCCCAGACTGATGGTCAGATCGAGGCCACGAACATGACTCTCGGAGATATTCTCCGAACAGTGGGACTCTCAGCAAGTACTGGGGTGTCGTTTTCTTGCTGGATATAGATCCTGGCAAAATGGGTTGCATGCCAGGCCCATCATTTTGCCTGGAGTTGCATGCCAGGCCCCTTTTGCCTGGATGGATATCCAGCAAAACGCCGCCCCAGTACTTCCCAAAAGTTGCGGCTGTATAGGAGCTGCATATTTGTTTTTTGAGGGGGAGAAGGTACTGATGGGTTGAAGTACCAGTACAGTTCCCAGCCATTTTTTCAGAGTTGTGGTGGGCATGCTGCTGCTGCTCTCTGAACTACCCCGGGTGCCGTTTCGTGGCACATCCATCCAGGCAAAAGGGGTAGCATGCAAGGCCCATTTTGCCTGGATGGATGCCATACCAGGGCAGGGATGGTAGTGGGGCAGAGCCTAAGGGGTGAACTCTCGTCAGGTGACCCTGGCCCCTGTATAACAAGTTAGCCATGGGCATCCATCGAAAGAAAAGGCCTTGCCGTACCACTTACCGGAGGCAAACAGATTGAAAGCATTTGGGCAAAGACCAGTTCAGGTACATTCATAATGTCAGCTTATGGGGAGTGGTTCGGCGACCCCCAAATCCTCACTTTACACAAGAAATATCCATCACGGAGCCACGCTGTTCCCCTCGATGGTAGGGTAATGGTCCTGAGCGCTGGTCACACTGAGGTAGGATAGTAAGAATAGGGGGTGCGCTAGGAGTATTGACGCGAGGTTGGGGAATGGGATGGGAGGTAGCCTCGTCTCTTCAGGCCAACCATGTCTGACAGCTTCCGGCGATCAATGTGAGCCTACCGTCTCCCCCGAACATAACCTACCCTAAAAATGAATGTATACAACTGCCAAAATGAGGGTATGTTGTGTTCGGGGGAAGACGGTAGTAACTGGCCTCTACAGCACTCTCAAAAAACAAAAAAAACACAAAAAAAGAAAAGGAAAAAAAATCGACATACCCCTTCCTTTTCTCTTCTCCCCTCTTCTCTCCCTTCCCCTCCCTACGTCTACGAGATATATTGAGGGTGTCGCCCTTTTGGCGGGAAAAAAAACAGAAAAAGAATTTGAGAAAAGTCCTGCAGCTGCTCGAGATATTTCGCCTTGCCCTTGGGGACCCTGCGCAAGTATGGTCCAAATTAGAAAAAGAAAAGAAGAGATATTTCGCCTTGAGTTTCAGCGGGACAAGCGCCCGGGGGCTAGGTCCCACTTGCACGAATTAATAGATACTGACCGTAGATTGCAAAGATCAACGGCCCAAATCTCCTACTTTGCGCAAGTGGGACCTTGCCCTGGAGCACTCGCCCGTGAACTGTCTACCATCGACGAAACCGATGTGAATCCAAGACACGCGTGCGTTGCGGCAGGAATCGTTGGCGTCCGACGTCCACCTGCGCGCCACGTCATCGTCTCTTCGTCTTTCTGAGCTATGGCGATGAAGCCGTCGGCCTATTCGAAGGAGGGCTTCGTTCATGGCTCTTTCTTTACAAACGTTGGAGTCTTGGGGCTAGTACTGGCATGTCCTCCGACAATCATTTACATGTGAGACTCGTTAATCTCCTTTTCACTACGTATAGGGCCATCCGGCAATCTGGCTGTTGTTGCTTCATATAGCTGGCTATTCTTGTTCTTCCCTCGATCAGAACGCATGGGAATCGACTGTCTGTCGCTGCATGTCAACTGGCTCTCACTCGTCTCGCTCCTGCGTAGACTGCTGGGAGATCATCCTTCCGTCCTCACTAGTTGTCCTTGTTTCAATCGCCACGCTGCCTCCTCCTCTTCTTGTTCTCTGTCTTCTTGCTCTCTCTCTCTCTCTCTCTCTCTCTCTCTCTCTCTCTCTCTCTCTCTCTCTCTCTCTCT